GTTGTCAAGTATGGAGTTGCGGAAATTATTTTTTGAGAAATTGAGAACACAGTTAATCTTCACTCGACTATGCGATTTTCTGAAACGTTCACTAGCATCCCGAAACCAATTTTTTAACGTGAGCATAATTTGACTAACTAAAAGTATCATTTTGCAGTTGGATTTCAACAATTCGCCATGATAATGAACACGCTAAGCATATGCGTTTCGATATTCTTATGGACGTGCACCAAAATTCGACGGACTTTGCCGCCATGGGGATTGCTCATTCAGTAAAGCACTTTTTCGCTTTATTTTAATTTCATTTGAATTTCGATTGGAAATTAAGCGATCATCAAAACCATACGAATTTTCACTCTTACAAATGTGATGACGCATCTCATCAAATTGCATCGCATCAGTCTAGTCATCGATTAATAAATCCCTTTTAAGATGCTCACGAGTAGTGAATAAAATCTTCTGCGTCTTCAACTCGATTGATACGGTTCAAGACGAATCAATATCGCTCGGGAAANTCACGAATAGTGAATAAAATCTTCTGTGTTTTCAACTCGATTGATACGGTTCAAGACGAATCAATATCGCTCGGGAAAGCCGATGCTACACTGAACACTTATCAGGCTGACTGGAGGAATGCGTTCGTTGCCATTCACGGTGCTGCAATGACCGCTATAACATTATTCTTCGTTCTTGGCTACATTGTATTGCTTTAATGATCATTATTTCACCGCGCATCTTGCCTCATAGCAGTTGTACTGCATCATGAATTTTACTCAACATATCGTCAACGTTAGAGATGTGTGATGAATTACTGCCGAGGGGATAGCGACTGATGTGCGAACGGAAAAGACCGTAAAAGTCAATAGAAAGCACAAATACCATTTTACTCTTAAATCACATCCTCAACTCTTCAAAATCGCAGCCTTAAAAATCTCTCCAATTAACTCATTACTTCATGCCATTCAGCTCGCTAACAATTTCCGTTCGGTCATTAATGTATGTAAATATAAAGGGTTGCAATTCTTT